CCCCCAGCAAGTCTAAAGATGCCATTTTGCCCAGCTTATGGGTGAGAAATCTGAAGCTTAGGAATATGATCTGCCCAAGACCACAGAGAAGACTGGACTTTAAGTGTGTCTGATTTCAGCCCTCTGGACTCTCCCCAGGCCCACACATTTGCAGCTGGTGGGGGGAGGTTTGGTGAGGGAGGATTGATTAAGCTTCAGCCAAGATTAGGCCCAGTGATGGAACTAGAGAGGGACTGGTGACCATAGAAATGACCAGAAGCCCTGCACACAGATGCACACCTGTTTATCTCACTTGATCGCCATACCCCATCCTGACCAGCTACCCAGAAACAGCTCTGTGACAGTCTGATTCCAGGGCTCAGCTAGCTCCCTCCTGCAGCCCGGGGTCTCCGTTTCTCCCTCCCGCCAGCGTTGGCTGGGCACAGAGGCACTCCAAAAACCGGAGCCAGGATCACCTACCTGTGGCAAAGCCTGGGACTCTGAGCTTCCCCCCTAGAGATTCAGTTTCACTCCTTTCCTCGATTAGCTAAACGGTAGTTGCTCTGGACAGTCCCACCTCCTTTCACTGGGCTATGAGGACCAAAGGGACTGACCAGGCTCTACCTTAGGGACCGCCGGGCAGGGGGAAGCACAAGAGACCCTACAACATCAACACCGGCTGACCGGTGCCGCCTCGGAAGCACAGCTCACGGGGCAGAGCCGGGCCCAGAGGGGCGAGGAGAGCAGCGGCATGAGGAGGAGCTGCGTCCAGGACGGCGCCCTGAGCAGAGCCTGAGCTGGAAGGGGGCAGGGGTGTGGCGGTCGGAGACGGGGCGTCACGGATGGGGGTGCAGCAGGCCCCAGGCCTCGGAGACGAGAAGGCACTGGTGCACTGGCGTCACCGCTGGAGAAACCAGACACTTTCCCGCAGCCCCGTCCCCTCCGCAGCCCTCATCCCAGCCCCGCGGGGCGCAGGCACAGGCCGGTGGCCGCGATCTCCCGCCTGTCCCGCGTGGACAACGGCTCCTTAGAAGGCTCGGGTGGGCTGGGGCGGGGCCTCCCGGGGACTCCGTGACGCCAGGGGGAGGGCCGCGGCGGGGAATCCCCGGGTTGTACCAAGAGCGTATTTGCGGGAGAGACGCGATCGTGGGGGGAAGCCGCGCCCGTGTCTACACCAAGTGACCCCTAAAACTTTCTCACCCAAGTTGGAGCTCCTATTGCTGCCGGGGGCAATAAGCGGGACGCGAGGATGGAGCCTCCGGGCGGCTTCCCCGAGCCGGTGGGCGCGTCCGCAGGCGGGGCCCCAGGGCCAGCGCGCCTTAACCCCACAGTGAAGAATAAAGGAGGAATTCACTGGGCCCAGGCTCATCCCAAGGTACACTGTGTAAGGCCCCTGCAGGCCCTGCTCTCTCTCCCTGAGTGAAGGCAGACCTGTCCATCCCCAGGAACTTAGAGAAACTGAGGAACGTTGAGGATGCAGACGGGCCTTGGAGGTGACAGGTTTATTGAGATGCAGATGATGGGTCACAGGACTTGGAAACCAGTAAATGCCAGTGACACCCCCCACCCCCAAAGAGTATAACACCTTCTGTCCAGCTGGTGTGGCTCAGTGGTTGAGCCTTGACCTAAGAACCAGGAGGTTACGGTTTGATTCCTGGTCAGGGCACATGCCTGAATTGCCGGCTCGATCCCCAGTGTGGGGCGTGCAGGAGGTAGTTGATGAATTATTCTCTCTCATCATTGGCGTTTCTAGCTCGCTCTCACTCTCCCTTCCTCCCTGAAATCAATAAGAATATGTTAAAATAAACAAAATAAAATAAAAAACACCTTCTCCTTAGTCAGCCTGGCTCCTTAGTCCGCTGTAAAACTTCCCTGCCCCTGCCAGGAGTTAAGGCTTCCCTGTCCTCAGCCCCAGCCCAAGCCTAACTCCTCTGTTGAAGGAGTGGTGGTTGGTGGTGACATTCACTAGAAGGCATGCCCAGGAGAAGGGCACGGTACCCATGGGGGCCAAAGCCAGTTGGCAACAGTGATGAATTCCATTTAGGACTGACTGACTCTCGAGGTGCCTTAGCGACACCATCAAAGGAGCTGGGGCTGTGGGCTTGGAAGGGAATGTTAACAGGGCTCTGCCTACTTGTGAGGTGCAAAGGTGCTATTCTCAGGTGAGGGGGCACATTGGGATCAGGGGTTCCTAACCCTTTTTTTGAGTCACAAAACATTCCTGGGAAATTTTAAATAATTTTGTCATTTTTTGATCGTATGCAATAAAGATTGTGCTTTAAAATATCTTCTATCTTTGGACTATGAAAGATTGTATTATAAAGTTCACTTAAAATAGAATTTTAAATAACATTCATGATACGTGAAGACAAATTTCTATTTTTCACATTTAGCATGATGTTTCTATTTAATTATGTTTGAAAAACATGATTCTATGACCAATAAATGTAAAAAGTGATTATATTGTGATTTAGAGACCGAATGTACTTAGGAACATAGTTTGAAACTTGCACTTGGGTTAGACAATGTCAGCAGCCGGGGGGATTGTTTAAAACCCGGAATCACAATGCTAAAATCACTGCCAAACTCATGGCGGCACACCCTGGTTGGCCCCTATTCCTGGCGATTTTCCTCCAGAACGTTTAGGGGCTGGCATTACCCCTTCTCTCAGAAGACCTTCCCTGTTCACCCAATCTGAAATAGCCCCAGCCCAGTCAATGTCTACAACATCATCTCGTTGCTCTTCCTTTCAAAGCACTTCACACTCCCCAAAAGGATCTTGTTTCTGTGTTGGTTTAGTTGTTTATGATCTGTATCTCCTACCAGACTGGAAGTTTCAGGAGAGCTGGCATCAAGCCAGCCTTGATCACAGCTCTTCCTTCAGCATCTATCATGGACCCTGGCACCAGCCCAGTAGGGGATCAGTAAATATGGCTGTTGCTGTGACTTCAAAAATATACTAAACCAGTGTTCACGGCTCAGTGCTTAGAAGTTTTAAGTTCAAAACTGTAGCTGTTTTTGACTGAAAAATAAATCACATGCACATAGCCGAAAATTCAAATAGCGTAAGAGTGAGGCGCTTTGCCACACTTTCATGCTTGTTGGGATAGGACAGGCTGTTCCGTGGCCTTTTGGTTATCTATTACTTAGTGCGGCCATTTTTTTTTACTGTCTCTCATGATTCAGAGTGTTGGCAGAGTTCAGCTGGGCGTCTCTTATGTGGTTCTAGTCACAACCAGCAGTGGAGTCATCAGAGGACTCAGCTGATTTGGTTGCTAATGACAGCTCTCTCGTTTGTCTGGCGAGAGAGGTTGGCAGTTAGCTAGAAGGACAGTTAGAGCTGTGCCTCCAGGTGGCTTAGGTCTCTCAGGGCATGGTGGCTACATTCTGAGAGGGAGCATTCAAAGCAAACATTCCACTGATCAAAACAGTCACAGTACTGCCCAGACTCCAGGACGGGAGACAGAGACCCAGCTTTCAGTGAAAGGAGTGTCAAAAAATGAGTGGCCATCTTTAATCCACCACATATGGTACCAAATAAACCTTCATACTTCAGTGGCTTAACGTAACAAAGGTTGGTTTCTCAATGTGAGGTAGACAACGTTGGTGTGCTCTCCTCCTCCAGCAGTACTCAGATCCCAGGGGCTTCCACCCAGTATCTCCACCAAAGTTCTTAGATCCCAACTGCTCAGATGGGAGAGAGGTTGGGAGTTAGGGGAGTGGGGAAAAGATTCACAGTGACATTTACTGCCTTGGAGCTGAAGTGACATTCCTCTGCCCACATTCCCATTGGTGAGATCATATCACCCAGGAAGGTTGGGAAATGTAATCTCCCCATGTTCCCTGGAAAAGAAAAATGGGTGTGAACACATCATTGTTGCTGACACACACTAATTTCCCAGTCTCCTTCTCTAGAATAATCACCATTAATAATTTAGTGTGTATCCTTCCAGAAGTATGTATTCATGTACAAACATTTAAAAACATAAATGTAGCTCTAGCCGGTTTGGCTCAGTGGATAGAGGGTCGGCCTGAGGACCAAAGGGTCCCGGGTACGATTCCAGTCAAGGGTATGTACCTCGGTTGCAGGCTCCTCCCCGCCTGGGCCTTGGTCAGGGCTCATGTAGGAGGCAACCAATCAATGTGTTTCTCTCACATTGATGTTTCTCTCTATCTCTCTCTCTTCCACTCTCCCAGCAAAATCAATGGAAAAATATCTTCAAGTGAGGATTAACAACAATAAAAAACATAAATGTAGCATTTACACACTGTTGCTTCTTTAC